CTATTTTTTCTTTTATAATCTTAATTTTTAAATGATATTGATCTCCACTATTCTTACAAAAATTAAGCACATATATTAATATGCGTTACTATCATGGTAGTGAACTTAAGTTTTCTCAAATACAACGTATTTGTTTGCTTAAAATTGAAGTTTTAATTTCATTTTAATACCACTGGGAAAAATGATAATGGAAGGGATTAAAAGTTGGCAGGTATGGACCACTATGAAGATAAACCAGGTTACGAAAGAGCCATTTAATTGAAAATCTAGTAAACATAAGAAAGTGGTAGCAAATATATGTTTAAAAATTTGTTTAATTTATGAATATGATTGGTTTGTCTTATTTACTTCAACTACTACAGATTCAATTCTCAAATATATATGATAAATTTCTCTCAGACACTTTTAAAATAGAATTTGTGTTCACGCTCAGAACTGGTTCACTTTTTAAATAGTCTGCGCAGACTTCTTATAAAAACCGCGTGGAGGCTTTCTGATGTAGGAGGTGATGGCAGTACTCAGCAAACTGTGACTTGTGTGCCACATGCAAAATTTTTGTGATTCGAGAACTTGTATTTGAAATAAATATGGCTGAGTGAGGTTTTGTAGCAGAGTTTGAAGACCATTGGGTTTACTCTTTTGTAACCGGCTTACGAGGCATTTCTGTTTCTTTTCCTTAAACAAAATATTTAATATTTATCTCATTCATGCGCGGCCAAAAAAAGTGGGCCCTATATTAAATAGCAATTATGTGAGGAAAAAAAAGTGATTGCAAATATTTATTAATACTAGGTGGATGTTTTTTTCTGTTTCATTTTGGCTTTAAAAAAAGCTTGATTCAATTTTAAGTTACTACATGTATTTTTAATAGTGTTTGAAGTATTATTGGAACCACGATAAATACTTGCTTTTTTTCCTTTTATTTAACACTTCAATAAAACTATCATGTTTTTATAGTTTGTTTTTGTGGTATTTATTTGTCTGATTGATTGACATATTTTTAAATAACATTTAGCCATTTGCAATCGGACACAACCATAGCACCAAGAATTACAAGACACACTCTCAGAAATAAAACTCTCATTTTTGATTATTCAGCAATCTTTGAGCTCTTTTTCGTTAATTTTGCGAATCAGTTCGTCCGAAATCACGTGATTTAGGACGAAACGCGAACTCTTAAATATATGACAAAAATGTTTCATCAACTCGGAACTTCATCGCAGTGCATTATGGGATATTATTAACTGGAATAAAAATTAATGAGTAATCGAAAATAAATTAACGAATCAACTTAACATGCTGTATAGTGGTCAAGGTGTTACCTTCATACCCGGGAAATTGGAAATTAGGAAATTTGAGAATCCATTTTTTTACAGTGCAAAGCCCACTGTTTGTACAATTACCATACAACACCTTTAAGCCATTAAATAATTACGGAAGATAGGAATAGTTTAGCGAGTACCTGATCAATATGGACACCTCTGAAATGAAAGATTCTTTGCTACTTGCTACATCAGTGACTACTTACACTGATGTTAGTGGGTAATTAGTAGTTGGAGCCATTAAAAGTGGTTATTAAACATTAAACTGTTAACATTCAGAGAAGTAGATATTTTATGGTGGGAGAAAAGAGCCTTCGAGCTAAAAGGGTTGATGCATTAGAAAAAATAAGTAGTACTTTTCACAACTATTTTGAAAATAATCTTTCAGCTAAAATGGAAAAAATTGTAGCTATGGAATATGATTAATTAAAGAGCTCAGTGGATGAAGTAGGTAAGTCACATTTCCAGGGGTATTCGTTAATCAGGAAAAAGAACATAGAATGAAGTATGCTAATGAGTATGTTTAATGGAATAAAATTGTTTTTGCTCTCACCACATAAGTTTTGCGTGTATTAGCTTATTTATTTATTGTGTTATTTCAAATTAGGTAATAAGAAATAAAATAAGGAAAGAAATTCTTGATCTCTCTACTAATAAATAGGATGACATCCATTTTCTTCTCGACTAAAAACTGTTGGCCAAATTATTTGCCAACGAAGGGTATACCTGTCAAAAATGAAATAAAGAAAAATATTCATGAAGGGTTTAATGAATTAAAATTTAAACAAAATGACATCGAGATTTGCCGAATCTACAGAGGGCAAGAGCAGAAGAAAATGTTAATCCAGTATGATTGCCATATGAAATTTGGAAGTGCTTTTTATACTGTTTTTTAACTTCTCTAAGGTTCCAAAGGCAATAAAACAGATTTTGATGTTTCCGTCCAACCTTCCAGGGTTGTATTATGTTAAAGCCCGATGACTTTTTTTTTAAACTTTGACTAAAATTAATTGCAACTCCTATTGTGTATACTTTTTTTACCTTATTTTTGACAAGGATTCCAAAAATATATATTAAGAGCTGTGATTTAAGAGCATCCATAAACTAATCATGCATTTTCAATTGCAGTCAATAAACATACACAAAATTTCTCATGGCAAATAGTCAATTTTATTTACATAAATATACCATTTCTAAATATTATATTTAGAATAAAAATTTGATAAAATATCATTTTATAAATTACATACATATGTACAAATTAAAAAATACATATCTCAATAGAATTTCATAATTAATAATCAAAACAAAGTTATACATGGGCTATAAATTTATTTTCTTAAGCATGTAAAATTTGAAATTGAAAACTTTAGTCAATGAATAAGCAGTTATTGAACACTTAAGTTTTAAAATTTTAAATAAAATATGTGTATATTTTATTTTAATCACAGCAGAGATTGGCTTGTCAAATGGATTAATACTCGATGATAAGGCACTATATTTGACACATTTTTTTTATATAAGTTTACATTTTGCATTACATATTTTTTAGAAAAATGTTCGTAATTCAACAATTAAGTTTAATTCTTGAATGCGTATACTAAAATAATTTTATTTTTAAGTATTACCATTAATGGAAACAATAAACTTTTCAAATAAAACGTTTATACTATAAACTTTAAACACATTCGAAAAAGTAAATGTTACATGGAAATAGTAAACTTCAAAAATCGTTCATTGCAAAAGTGAGCGTCAAAGACAGTTTAAATAGTTAACTTTTAGGATAATTCCTTAAAAAGTATACATTCGAAACAAATTTTTGAAATAGTTAACTTAAAAGGCAATTCATTAAAAGGAAACTGTTCAAGACAAATATTTAACCCTTTCGGGCCCACTGTTACAAATACGTGCCAGCGTATTAGTAACAATAAACAGAAGAGTACAATGCAATAAATATAACTCGCGATATCATCAGATTCTAAATTAGTTTCAAAGAATTCAATTTTCTTGTTGTTCCCGTAAACTCCGTTTTTTTTCTTCAAAGATTTAAGTTTAAAAACGGACGAAAAAACTAAAATTTTACGAGACAAGAACTTACTACATTTTATTACTAAGACTTTCACATTTTGATAAGGAATTTTAAAAATCATTGAGAAAATACTGGCAGTACAACTATTTCATTTTTAGCTTATTTCCTAACCTTCTCCGCAACGCAGCAAATTTTGATTGAAAATTTTAAACAGGCAGCTCAATTATTACTACTACAAGAGGTCACGGATCTTGAGGAAAAGTGTTATAATTCAGCTCTGTATTATTTAAAAATAGTGGTTGATATTAAATGATGGAAGTTTAGAAACAAATTCTCATTTTTAGTGGTTTGCAATAATTTTTCAATTCGTGTTGCCAGACGGAGCACACTGCGCAGAAAAGGGTTAAAAAGTGAAAAATATTAGCGACTGCCACGATTTATAAGAGTATTAACAAATATGCAGGATTGTTTTCTGCCTGAATTTATTTTATTTTAAATTAAAGGGTTTCATTTGTAGCTTCTATTTCAAGTAATTCTTAGCCCTAATAAATATTCATGAATAGTTAAGATAATATGTATTTTTGTTAGGATGTGTATACGAATTTTGATGTTCTGTATTAAATATTTTTGATGGATGAAGATATAAGTAATTTGATTTAGATATTGCTTCAAACATGTAAACATTACTCACTGGAAGCAAGACAGCATATATTCCCATAGCACTAGGAACATACTGTCAACTGTATAGTCAATAAAACAAAAGCTTAAAATCAAAGTCTATAAATAAGTACTTAAAGAAACACCATTCCCTCAGCTATATTATTTTGGCTGTACAATGATTCGATGATCATCATCTTCTAGAACAGGAAGCCTGTACACGCTTTTTAGCTTTCGTGGAAGACTTTTTATGGAACTAACCGCATTTGAGTTAAAGTGGCGAGGAAAACCACAAAAACTCCCACGGTAAGCCTAGGGACAAGGGGACTCTAACCCATGATCTGTCAACAACTGAGGACATTTTATGTCAGCACTATGATTGGTGCGACCCATGTAAGGAATTCGTATCGCCTGTCACCTCATTGGGAGGCAAGCACTTTGTTTTCTGAGCAACGACGGTTGAAGCATACATATTGTGTGCCACGTTATTTCAGCTAGCTCGTTGAAAGGCTTTCAAATTTTGCAAAATTTAGTGTTAATTCTTCAGCATTTTATGAAATTTCTTGCAAAAAGCTAAAAAGTTGGCACTCTTGTGTATTTAAAAAATCCTCTTTTTGGGTTATAAATTTTTTTTTCACGCATTAATTAAACACTACCCTAGTATTAATAAATCAAACCGATATTAATAAATGAAATCTAAAATATGGATATTAACGTTTATGATATGTTATGACATTTTTTATAAAGGAAGGTGGCTAATGCGCAAAACGAGTCACTTTTTAATTACAGTGCGCAAAAAAAAATTACCTTGAATAACTTTTGACCTAATGATGGGATCTTCAAGTTTTAGGATTCAATTTTAATGGTTCAGGGGGGTGATTTCAAATATGCTAATTAATTAGTGCAGACGATATTTTAAGTTACGAAATCAGGCCCAAAAACGTACTTTCTTTGTACAAATATACCTTTTTTTGAATTTGGATTCCTATTCCCCAAAATATAGGGGATAGCCGTAATCTAGGAAATATGGTCCCCATAAGGAAATTTGGTCAGGAGAGCTATTCAAAGTTTGGACCTACAATGTCAATTTCATTTTTTAAGTATTTCTTCATATCTCGAGAGCTTCTAAAGCGAATTAAAAAAAAATTGCACACAATTAGAAAATTCGTTTGTACAAAAAACTAATTTTAATTAATACTTATTGTTGTTTATTATTTAATTTAATAATAGTTAAAAAAAATTAAGATTGTGTCCTAGAACGGGAAGATCCGATCTTTAGATCAAAAGTTATTCAGAGCGGTCCGTTATTTTTGGCACACTGTACACCGAACAGGCTACCTACTTCTTGGAAGTGATGATTCAACTGTACACATTGGCATAGCTTTTACGACGACGAGACATGATGGTGCGTGTCAAAGACAACATTTACAAAGTTAATTTACAAGAAATTCACATTGATAAGACGATTGTTCTGAACAACATGGACGACCTTGGAAAAAATTGTCCTAAGAATCACTTTTCCTTCACTTCAAATCTTGAAACAAAAAATCACACTTTGGCTGAATTTGATTTATTTCTTGGCACTGTTTGATGAAAGCTTTTGAGTCATAGCCAGCCGAAGTCTCTGCCAACCATTCGGAAGAACTTTTGATTGAATGGCCTGAAGAAGTCCCTTAACCTCTGGAGAATGGCTGGAGCTATGATTGGATGTGAGCGGCCTTTTGTTTTACCAAGGCAGCGAGGTATTTCACTATTTGGAGATTTTCTCAAACAAGGAAACCCCTTGCTCTGATTGAAGAAGAAATGTTTTGCACCAATAAGTGGTCGGAGACCTAGGAACTTTTGAACAGTCTGCAAAATAACAATAATTAGTGTAAATATAAACTAGAGAATAATTATTTTCAGTAAATAAAATATTTTTAAACTAGAAAATATGATTTTGGTGGCCTTTTGATGCAGCTCCGGATGTGCATTTGAAAAATGAATGAAAATCAAAATTCTCGTTAAAGAAACTGGTCTTGGCTCAAATCCCTCCAATTGAATATTGAACGAAAAAAAAATGTTTTTTTTTTACTACTACGTTAGTTTCATTGGTAAACTCGCGAATTATTTCTTTTAAAATATAAATTTCACAACAGCAGGGCTGCCACCCTTCTTCGCTTGTTGTAAAAATTTATTCTAGTGGTACATGGGAAAATCCTTTTCCACAAGAGTAAAAGTTTAGCACGTAAGCAGCTAATACTATGTTGCTTTTTTACGAAAATCAACATATCTTTACATTTTTTTAAAATTATTACTTCCTATGCCCACTTGTGTTAACATTTGGTCAATTCACGCATTTACAGGACAGATTCATTGGCCACTCTTTCAGGTGTACCATATTAAGTAAGCCAACGTTGCTCCCACAGAATGGATAGATAGTACAGAGAACGAAAGAACATCCGTGCCTTGCCCGGGATTCGAATCCAGAACCTTTCTAATGCAAGTCGAGTTACCTGACCTCTACATAGTCCGGTTGGCACATATCTTTACATTATCTTTTGTAAAATAGCATGATCAAAGACAGATATTAGTTGCATCGTATAAAGTATTATTTGATTGTTAGTCATATAAACTGCCTTATTTCGTATCGCAAATCTATTCACCTTCGTTGGTTTAATTGTTTCAATCGAGAGGTTTAGAGCAAGAATAAAAATAAGTTTAAATTTTCCCAAATTGTTTGATGCATTTTTGACTGTGGATTAACTGCTTCGATTGGTACAAGATTCAGGCACAACTGTAACATCATTCCTGTCTTATGAGACATTAAGTGTGGGGGGAAAATGTGTGTTAATTTCCTTTCTTTAATTTCATCTGCCATTGCTTCTTACCAGGTGTCCAAGAATCTTGATTTACCTTGTTCTTGCACCAAGTAACTCAATTGACTTTGTGCTACAGGGTTTTTATCCCGAGAGAAGAAAATAAAATAAGAAAGATTAGCGGGTCACTAAAAAAGTTACGAGACTTGGACTAATTTGAAAAATAATATATTTAATAAATGTATTAAATATATCTTTAAATGTATTAAATATAAGCAATATTATTATGTTTAGATTAGCAATATTTCGAGCAAAAATCGTGAATGCTAGAGATCAGGTAACTGCATTTAAATTTTTACATTTCTAATTATTTTATAATTAATATAGCAAAAATAAAATATTTTCGAAATAGAAATAGGAAATTTTTAATTTAATATTGATGTCTTTGAGGAATTTCAATGTTAAACCTATCAAAGAAAATCAAAAGTATAATATGACACATTTTCTTGTTTTAATAAATAAAATGTTTCAATACATTCTGTCACAAATGGTAGTCTTAAACGAATATATAAAAGTGACATAAATGGCAAAACCGTCCAAAAGTCATGACAGTTTGTGATCTGATAATGATGGTAATTATTATAAAAATAATTTTGTTTCTGAAGTTGTTATTAAGTTTTGAAATTGTAATAACAAATTTCTAAGTGATTCGTGTTTTTTCTTGATTGGATCTACGCTGATTCCAAAGAACTTCGTTTGCTAGTTTAATTCATTATTTTTAATTGGGTATAATATGAAAAAAGCACAACTACTTCCACTTACTAGGAATAACATTTACCTTTTAGTTTAATTAATAAACTGAGTTTTAAATATGCTTACTAAATTCATAAACTTCGGTAAAACAACAATATAAATTATTTCCAAAGGAACTAGACTAATACAATTCCAACCTGGCGAGTAGCGACTAAAACAAGACACTTCGTTTGATGCTTTTACTTGTTGCTAGAAATCAGGTTCGCAGAAAATGCTGTTTACTAGTTAAATTTAGTAGGAATAACACGATCTGTGACGTAGGCTTTAGTATACCCATTGCCATTTTTTATCTTAAAGTATTTGAGATTGTGCACAATATCTTTATACCTGTATTATTTCTTTTTATGTTAGCTATAACTTTTTATTCGTTCTTTGTTACACTTTGAAGTCTAAGCATCATAAATGCTATTTTGATTATCTGATTAAAACAAATAATCTGCTAGTTACATTATGAATATACTGTTAAAATGTAGTTTCTTATTTCCAAGTAGGAACTTTAGAATTTTTTTGTTGAAAATTTCTTCCGTGGATTATTGACCAATCCACGAACGAAACGTATACCAAATCAAAACATTTCTAAGCTCAAACTTAATTGTTTGTAAAATTTACAAAATAAATTTGATTGTAAGAATGATTTAAAATATATTACCCGCAGCTCTTGAACTGGATCTTCAACAAGCTGCTCACCGCTAACAACAAGAATTTGATCAAGAGGAAAAAATCGAGTCCACCTTTCTAAATGTTTGGCATATTGACCAATCCTTATGGCTGACCAATCAGCATCCACTAATCCTGTACTGGCATTCCTATCACATCAAAATTTGTATGAATTATATTGACTAATCTAATAATCTGCAATAAGTGTTAGATAAAGTGACAAAGATATATCATCAAATTATCAAAGATTTATTTTTATATTAAATTGACACAAAGAATTAATAAAGTCTAATATACCTAAATGCCATGTCTTCAAATGACCTTGTGTCTTGAGGTCTCTTGCTGGAGGCTTGTGTATAGTCCGAAAGAGCCCGAGTGACCGGATCTCTGACGACAATCAGCAGAAGTACGTTTTTTGACATGTTGGCTATCCTCTGAGGAGCTCCAGGCGTTACCAAGTAGCTAGGGGTTTTCTCCATTGTCAGCTGATTTTCAGAACTAAGAGGCATTTGCATTCTGTAAAAGAAAGAAAAAAAAAGTTCAGACAATAAATTTTTTTTAAAAACAAAATTGGGATCAAATGTTTTAAGGTAATGGCAAGATAACAATATTGATACAACAATAAGATAAGTCGTGAAATGTTAATAACATTTTTGGCCTTATATCACTTTTCTTGCCATATAGGATTTTACTATAAAATGTTGGTTTTCGTTTCAATGATAACACTGATAAACAAGCTATAGATATCTGGTATGGTGTTTTCCTTCCCGAATGTTGATTGTTAATCTGATATGAAATCTGAAAACCGTTTTGCTCTATCACGACAGGTTTTTAAGATATTGTCAAAAATTAATTTTCAGGGAACACCATTTAATTGTCAATACTGCTTAAATTTTAGTAATTTTGATGGGATGCTCTTCAAATTTTAGTAATTTTAATGGAATACTGTTGAAATTTCATTAATTTTGAAGGAAAGCTGTTTAAATTGTATTAATTTTATGAAATATTACTTGGATTTTAGTAATTTTAATAAAATTTGCTTGCATGGGATGCAACGTCACGTTTTCGCCACAGACACTAAGAATTTTCAAATTTCTTTACAATGAGTGACACTTTATGCTACAACAACAACAAAACAAAACAAGCTCTGGGGAAAAAGTTGTAGAAGAAAAAGATAGGGGAAAAAACATCGGGGAAAAAGCACTAGTCAACAATTACAAGAATTTAAAGACCGATTTAATTCAGACTGTTAAATATGAATTAAATATAATTAAATATATATTCAAATGCAAATTTATACTTATTTAAAAACTGATTAATATGCAAAGTTTAATTTGAAGCTTAGCCCTTTCGCGCCGACTGTCACAAATACGTGACAGCATAAAACCGTATGAACCAGGGAAAAAAGATAAAACTGGTAATCAAAGTAATTCTTTAACATTTAATTCACCATTACTTTGTTCAAAATAAAACTATTTAGTTATACTTTGAATTAACATTGATTATATATATGATTAAACTAACAATAACTAATGTAAAAGCAAAGTAAATCTGTCAAATTATAAACGACTACATTTAAGTTACCGTTTTTTATTTAGTTACATCATGATTCTGATTTTGTACGAATGCTTTTCTGAATCACCCGTCCCCAAGGGGTTAAGAAGCAAACTTTAAGCGCATATTTAGATTTATATTAATTGAACATCATATAATTATATAAAATACTTAATAGTATCATTATATGCAATGTATCAATTAACAATAGTTTCTCTGGAAGTTAATTTTGTGATTAAGTTAAAAATATTGACAAAAATTATGATAAGTTTCCTTTTATGTAATTTTATTTATAAAAAAAATCAACTGCTGATATAGAATTATCGTAAACAGAAAAAATATGGGTTAGTAATTTTGGGTAAGTAATTTAATATTGCACATTTGTCTGCTTCAGATTTTTATAAATTGACTTGCATAATTGTTTAAATCAAAGAAATCTAATTAAGAAACCGATAAAAAAAACTCCGTACAGTATCCTGCTGTACAGTTTACGAGGAAAGTGCTGCCTAGTGTGTGAAAGTTATTCTTAAGTAGTAATTATGATAATTTAATATTAGAGACGAGACGTTTGAGGGGATAAAGTACTCCTCTCCCAGTGAAGCGACCGAGGTTCGAATGATTCAGTTTGTGTATTGCTTTAGCTAGTACAGACAACAGTGCTTTAAAAAAATCTTCAGTGGTTGACGGATCATGGGTTCGAGTTATCTTTCCATCAGATTTGGGTAAATCTTTGTAATAAATGTGCAAAGCAAATGTGATTTAGTTTCGTTCCAAGCGTTTTCTTCGAAGCTACAGCAGTTCTCTAGAGTTCTAGGTTAAGTTTTAACTTATAATGATACGGAGTTGAATATTGATAAAGAAACAAACTAGATTTGGGTCGCGGTTGATAAAATGAATTATTATAAAGTTTAAATAGGGAAGGATAGAAAACTAGAGGAAGTATATGGAGCAGCGGTTCCCAAATGGTGTTCCGCGGATCCTTAGGGTTCCGTGAAAGATTTAAAGGGTTTCCAAGAGTTACTACTTTGTATAACCAGAGTTAAGTTTCGAAACCTCTGATTATATTTAGCACCAACCTATAATTCATAATTCATTTAATCTTATGGTTGCCTTTATTAAATTATATAAAGTAAAATGCCGATAAAATGGAAATGACATTTCCTTTAAAAAAATATATAATATTTCTAAAAACAAATTATGAACTAATTATAAAAAAAAACAAGCATTTATGAAATATTCCATTAATATTTCCTATCGCACTTTTCAAATCATAATAATTAAATTCTTTAATAAAGAAAAAGAATTCCATGATAACCATTTCCAACTTTTATGACAGTTCTTGAAAGTTTTTATTTCGAAGTAAACCATAACTCGGCTGGTTTTAATTATTTTCAGCTTACGTATATACACCAGAAACAAATTCATAACTAGACAAGATATGAGTCGCTCAGAAGCCAATGAATGCGGTTAAGTCCAAAACACAAAAATTGAGAAAATTAATGTTTTTTGATACATTAGTTTTTAAAATTATTGGTTTATTAATTTAATTAGAAAAGTGTATAAAGTCTTTTTTCGAGGTGTAAACTCTGCAAAAAAACTAGATATGTACAGGATGTGTAAATAAAAACGTAAGTATTTATTGAAATAATGACAGCATCTTAAAAATTTTAGGACTCATACCTTTTGGCAGCTGAAAAAGATAAGAAATATATATAGTCTACTAGTATAAACGAACTTAAATTTTTCACAATCATCATTAGATACAGTGACTTATGGAAAATAAACTGTTGGATTATTTCAAAAATTGTTTTTTACTTCAAAACTAGAGTGGCACTTTTCTTTGTTTTAGGAAATGAAAATAAAATAAATAAATAAAAAAAAAAACTAAAAATACCATATTTTAAAAAAATACTACAAAAACTACCATACCCCTTTTTTTCGTGAAAAAATACTACCGTAGTATTAAAAATACTACGTCTGGCAACCCTGTTACTAAGAATTTCTTGTTTTTCAGTGTTACCAACAAATATCGAAAGAAGAAGAAGAATTTAATTTTTATTTCAAAGTTTATGTAAAAAAATATTGATAAAAGGTGGACTTATTCACAATGGCTTCTGAAATTATTATACAATATATTCAGAAGCTATTAAAAAAAGGGCTGTCTGACCTAGAAAAAAGTAACCAACGAGTAAATCCTTTAATAACTAAGAAAATTATTATTTACTTCATCAAAATTTCCAAAAATCAGAAAATATCAAAAAATGGACTTAACCGCATTGGCTTCTGAGCGGCTCATATATCACTCGAGCAGCAAATAATGTAACTGTCTGATATAAAACCTAATTTAAGATAATTAATGATAAAACGATGAAATTCTAACCAAATATTTTAAATATAGTCTTTTAGAGGTTAATACAATCACATTTACCTTAAACTTTATTTATAAAATTGGGGCTCCGCTGAATGAAAGTTGATTATTTAGGGATCGGTAGCTGAAAAAAATTGGCTAATCTTAATTTGGTATAAAATTGACATAAAAAGAGGTTTAGTTTTCGATTTGAACGATAGAAATAAAAACGAAAGAAGGAATGAAGTTTTTAATGATGCTAAGATATATGAATATTTCAAGGGGAAAAAAATCTTCCTCAAGGTCGGTTAGGAAACGCAGATCCAAGTCATGTCAATGGGCGACAAATCGTTTGTCATCGCCAAGAGTGGGAGAATGGTTTACGGAAGTTTTAACTCTGATTCCAGAAAGCCACTTTGCAACACTTCATGTCACTAACCGTTCAACATAAATATTTTTTTTTCCTTCGTGGTCCCTAGAAAAAATTGGAGAATGCCAGATGATTCACCACTGCTGTTGTTTCTGTATCCCTCTGGATTACTTTATGATAAACATAAATTTTATTGGTTTCAGGTCCTTATTTTTTATTTTATTTATTTATTTTGGAAGAGGATGTCATCGCTGGTTTCGCTAACGCATCTGTAATAATATATAGACGATGAAAGAATTTAAAAGAAATGCCTGGAATATGAGTTTTATAATAGAAACTTTTAATAATATATGTTTTAATTTTTATTGTAAATTGAAAAAAAAATCAACAACATACCTTACGTTTATTTCAAGAACTTTTGCAACCGTTCTAAAGCATTAAATTTGACAATATTATAGTGCAAACATTCCTTCTTATTAAAGAGGAACTATACTTTGGATGATTAAACAACATTAGTTTTTTAATTTATTTTAATACGACACTATGTATACGTAAGAACAGAAAGTATTGCCTGCAAAACCCGAACGCTGGTTCATAGTGATGTTCTTTTTTCTTTTTTGGGTTGCCAAAATATATTAATATTAAAGTAGTTATGTTTTGATCTGAAACTATGCAGTTGCAAATTTTTTTTAAAACTACTAGTTATCAACCTAAGTAGACAACTTAAATTCCTTTAAAAATAACCAAAATATTAAATTAATAATGGGTCATTGATTTGATATAACACCATATCATAAGACATATTGGATATAAATATAATTGGGTAATTGCAACTCCAGAATAAGTGAAGTGATTTCATGTCTAATCATATGATTTAAATCAGATTAATTGGATACCTATGGGCGATGTCACGCGTGTTTGTGTCGAACTTGATTGGCTTCTGAATCGACAAATGCCACGATTTACCAACTATGACGTCACTCGCAGGTATTCAAAACCTGTGCTAGTTTTTTATTTATTTATTTGTTATTTTTTTAAAAAAAGAAACCCACTTTTGAAGCCTTTACACAGAATCCTGACGTTCCATGAAACACGTTTTGGAAACCGTTGTCACATATTATGTTGCATAATTGATATCTTCATTTGAAAATTTTTTCATTGATTAAATACTGTAGTATTATGTTTTTGAAATTATTTAGTGCTTAGGTCAATTTAAACAGCATTTTAAAATAATCGGAGTGCAGG